AGAGGACCCAGGTCTGAATCTAATTCTCCAAATTCAAAAACCCCAAATGCCTCTAGTTTAGATTTTGTAAAGCCAAAACCCTAATCCTATTAAAATGAGCTGACATCCTACAGATGTCAGGTAATGTTTGCAAAAACTCCGCTTTTTGACAGGAAACTGGTTGTCCAAATAATAAACAAAACCGACAGTCAAGCAAGACTGGACCTCTCAGAGTGTCTGAACTTAGGGCTAATCACTCCTCTGAACATTATCCATTGCATTTTTATATTGCACAGCTATAAGTACTACACAGAATATGCTCATATTGAAATTTTTGTTTTCTTTTGTTTGAGGGCCACACCTGGTCATTCACAGGGCTTGCTCCTGGCTTCGTGCTCAGGGATCACTCCTCGCAGGGCTAAGGGGACCATATGGGACCGACGCTGGGGATCTAGCCTAGGCCAGCTGCATGCACGTGCCTTACCGCTAATACTCTCACTCTGGCCCTTCTGGAATTTTAATAACAAGAAGCCTATATCCTTACTTATCTTCCTTAAGAGAATTTCTCAAGCATTTTGTCAGGTGCTTCAGTGATCTGTGCTTGCCTTTCCTAGGTTGGACTCTGGATTCAGGTGTATTGCAGGTACTAAGCCACATTATCTTTGGGGTGCGGATCAGTAGGGTCCTCCCATCATGGCCTGGGAGCAATCTGGGAGAGCTTCCTGAAAGAAAAGACATCTGAATCTCAGTGAAAGACCACTTATTTAAAACTCATGTAGCAATAATAATAATAGTAACAATAATAATGTGGAGTTCATGCCCAATTCCATCAGCTTAATCAATGGCTGAATAAATAGCAGTGCTCCTACATTATAAAAAAGAAAGAAAGAAAGAAAAAAAGAAAGAAAGAAAAGAAAAAAAGACGGGCTGGAGAGAGAGCACAGCGGGTAGAGTGTTTGCCTTGCACGCGGCCAACCCGGGTTTGATTCCCAGCATCCCATATGGTTCCCTGAGCACCTCCAGGAGTAACTACTGAGTGCAGAGCCAGGAGTAACACCTGTGCATCGCCAGGTGTGACCCAAAAAGCAAGAAAAAAAGAAACAACTAATGTAGCCACATAGGGGCCCGAGAAAAATAAGTAGGATGATTTTTTTAAATAACTCCAGAAAAAAAAAAACCCTGAGAATGGAATGGAATCAGGATAGTGGGAAATAATCCCCTCAAGCATCATGCTTTTCCCCAGAAGCCCACACCCCCCAAAAAAAACTTTTAGGCACCATGATTTGCAAAATCGTTCACAGTTGAGTTTCACACACACACACACACACACACACACACACACACACACACGGTGTCTTCAACGCCAATCCAGCATCAATTTTCTCCTTCCAGTGTCCACAGGTTCCCTCGCAGCCCAGCCTGCCTCCCTGATGGGCACATTTTTCATTCTGGTTTGTCATAGTTTGGGTCTCCTGCTTCCAGTGTTGTTGGCTCTGAGGTTTAGAATATGCATGCCACAGCTCTTTATCATGGACGTTCTGTGATCCCCAGCCTCTGGCCTGCTACCTCCTATCTGCCTCTCCTTACTCCTAATTTATCTGTCCACCTTGCGAGTGTTGAACCCAGTGGAGATTCTTAGCCATCACCCTAGTTAAGGGAATAGGAAGAGATGGTTTTCCATTTTCCCCAAGGAATCCTAAGGAAACGCCGTTCCAGCCTCCCTGCCCTGCCCAGCCCTTCCTTTCTTCCTGCGAAGTTGCTATTGATTGGGCCACTGATTCCAGTAAGGACTGGTTGAGGACACTAACATAAGCATGCAATAACATCAGACCCCTCTGACCAAAAAAGGTTAGGGTTGAGTTATCTGCTGAGATCACTGGCACACCCCTGGCCCCACCAGTCCCCAGTTCAGCTTCCAGAACATTCATTGCACTCTTTTTTTTTAATATTAAATCACTGTGAGATGCATAGTTACAACACTATTTAATTGGGTTTCAGTCTTACAGTGTTCCAACACCCATCCCTTCACCAGTGTACATTTCCCAGCACTAATGTCCCCAGTTTCCCTCCCATCCCCCCACCTACACCCTACTTCTACAGCAAGCACTTCTCTCTCTCTCTCTCTCTCTCTCTCTCTCTCTCTCTCTCTCTCTTTCCTTTTGGGCATTATGGTTTGCAACACAGCTACTGAAAAGTTATAATGTTTGTCCTTTTACTTCCTTGCAGCATGCAGTTCCTGTCCAGAGTGCTCATGCCCAACTCTCATTTTCATAGTGGTCCCGTATTTGCCCTAACTGCCTTCTCCCCCAAACTCCTAAAGAAAGCTTCCAACCGGGAACTGTTCCTCCTGGCCCTTGTTTCTACTGTTCTTGGGTTTTAGTCTCACACTATGTTTTATTGTTTGTTTAATATATCACAAATGAGTGCCAAACCATTCTAAATCTGTTGCACTCTTTGAGTGCAAAGCACATATGCACCTTCACATCTCAGCGGCAGCAGCCCTGCTGGGGGGCCTGCTCATGCCCTGCTCCCCCTACCAGCCAGGTCAGAGCACCATTGGTCATTGATGCTGGGTCCACTGAAGGTACCCACAGATACACAAGGAGGCTTCATGGCCTGCAGTGTAGAGGTGCAGGAGGAAGTACAGTGTGTCCTGGGGATCCTGCCCATAGTCACCATGGTTGGTGACCATTGCAGGAGCAAAGTGGGCAGGGCCAGAGTCTGACCTCAAGGCACTCATGCTCAGTGTGTGGGGACAAAGGTGGGGTGAGGGAATCTCACGGGTTGCAGCCAGCTGTGACAGAGACAGTGCGGGGCAGGTGCAGCTGAGGTAAAGTGCCAGACATGGAGGGCATCAGGCTTAGCGGCTTTCTTTGAACCCACACAGCAGGACGGCCACTTCTCCCCAGCTCCCCAGCTGCTCGGAATCTGAGACCCGAGTGTTTCAGTGGCCCTCGGAGAGCGCACTGTCCAGTGAGGGGCAACCTGTGTCCCGCTGGCCCTGGGGCAGAGCCGGAGTACTGGTCGACAGGGCCCAAGTGTTTATCCCCAGTAGGAGACTGACATTCATTATAGTAGAGCTCAGCCCAGTGGACTCCAGGGACACTTTGCTTCTGTCACTGAAGCCCCAGGACACACACAAAGCCAGAACCTGAGGCTGGGTCAACTGGGTCAGCTGACACCAATAGAGGGCAGGATGAAGTCAAGAACAAGACTGGATGGAAGCGGGGATTCCTGGGATGAATATTAATTGCACTTGGGTGAAACATGTGAGGGGAAGGGTGACCAGCCCCTAACCTCAGAAGGGCCTTAGGAGCGTGTGCCATCCGACTGTGGGCATGGGCAGAATATGAGACTGAGGCTTAGCAGGGAGGTGGGGTACCTGCCCCTGGAAAGCGGAAGCTTTAAGGGTTGGACTGACAGGCATGCTCCGCTGGTAGGGAGGATGAAGGACTGAATCGAGCATATTATGAGCCCTGTTATGTGCTTCGTCTCTGGTGCTTTGTCCTCAGTCACATACTGAGCAGGTGATTTGACCTGTGTGCACCACGGCTATATCAGTCCCATGACAAGAGAAAACTAACTGGCCCAGTGTCTTTCAGCTCCTAAGGGCCAGCTTTGGAATTTTAAAGCGGATTCCAGAGCCTGTGCTTTTAATTATTAAAGCACAGGTGTTAACGTAGCTTCTCTTTCCTTTCTTTCCTTATGATGGTATCTGGGTTTTGTTTTCTTTTTCTTTTACCTTTCTTTCTTTTTTTTTTTTTTTTTGGTGTCACACACAGCAATACTCAGGAGTTACTCCTGGCTCTGCACTCAGGAATTACTTCTGACAGTGCTGGGGGATGCCGAGAATAGAACCTGGGTTGGCCGTGTGCAAGGCAACTGCCCCACCCGCTGTGCTATCTCTCCAGCCCCTTGTTTTGTTTTTTTTTTCTGAAATAAGGATTGAGGAAGGCTGTGATAATGAATACAATCACTTAGCATGCAATAGTAGCATGTGCATTACTGTTTCCATTACTTTTCTTGTTATTACTATTTTCATTATTTTTACCTTTTTAATTGACTGAGGTTCTGTGATTTACAATATGTTAATGATGGGTTTCCTATGCACATCATTCCAACATACCTCTCACCAGTATACCTACCTCCCTTCTTTTCCTAGGGCCCCAACACAACTCCTTTTCAATCCCTCTTCCAAACCCAGTTGTGTGGGTCAGTTCTCCTGTTGGGTTGACTTTGCCTTTGTTGCTTATTGTGTATCTCAGGTCCCACATATGAGGGAGATCATTCTGTATCTATTATCCCTTTCCTTCTGACTAATTTCAGTCAGCATTGTACCTTCTAGTTTCATTTATGTTGTGGCAACTTGCATGATTTTGTTCTTTCTTATTCCATCATTGTGTTCCATTGTGTATATATACCACAATTTCTTTTTTTTTTTAACTTTTTATTGAACCACAGTGAGATACACTATTACAAAGTTGTTCATGATTGGTGTTTGGTCATATAATGTTCTGACACCCGTCCCTTCACCAGGATACCACAACTTCTTGATCTATTCATCCATAGTCGAGCATTTGGGTTGTTTCTATTATCTTGGCTATTGTACTGAGCACCACAATGAACATAGGTGTGTATATATCCTTCTGAATTAATGTTTTTGTGTTTTGGAGGTAGATACCAAGAAGTGGTATCATTGGATCATATGAGAGTTCTATTTATTATTATTATTTATTAGCAGAAGGTGCAAAGCCCCTGGTGCTTAGCCCACATTCAATAGGAGATTGAATAGGAAGCCACTGTGATAGGGACAAAAAGCATCTGAAGACTCTCCAAGACTTCTGCATGTGTTGCAGGGCTGAAAGGAACTCTGCAGGGTGGTCTAGAGATTAGCGATGGGTATGCAAGAACAGCTGCAGACAACCAACAGATAAGCACAAATGTCCAAGACCCAGTGATGCCAGGATGAAACAACAAGATGTGAAATCTTTCCATCACTCCTTTCTCCTTTCCTTCTCAAGTGCTGCTTAAGTCGAGCGGAGGCCCGCCGGGATGCAGCAAAAGTGGCACTCATCAACTCCCTCTTCAATGAGCTGCCCTCTCGCAGAATCACCAAGGAATTCATCATGGAGAGTGTGCACGAAGCAGTTGCCTCCACCAGCGTAAGTGCCCACCAGGGAGGGAGGAGCTGGCTGCACTGGGTTTAAATCTTGGGAGATGCCAAAGTGAGCAAATTCTCTAAGCACTAGATGGGTTTAATTATTACCCATTGAGTCATTAATGTTCAGCAAAAACAACAACCCTTAGAAGGACTACTTTGATTGGAAATGCTGAGGTTGAAGCTGGCTCCCTAGACCAGTCTTAAGAATGCTCTTGGCCTCTCTGTCTCCCCATGAAACAGCTTTAAATCAAAGTAGATCATTTGCTTGATTTGTTGATTGGAATAATTGCCACTTGCACAGCATGGGCTCTTTGAGGGTCTGAGAACACGTGCAGTTGAATCTGCTTTAATCTAGTGACAAATTTAATCTAGTGAAAAATACCCCTTCCTTTCCCCCCAAATTCAGCATTCTTTACTGATATCTAGAATAAGTACTGTCTTCTAGGAAACTCCATGGACCCACTATTTGGTGGCTAGTAGAAGTATCATGCTTCATATCAATGATTTGTTACAAAGAGCTTTGGAGGTTTCCTAATCATAAAACCCAGTGTCTAAGGAGCCAATAAGCTGACTGGGAGATTCTGACAGGAAGTGTCTCAGCTCTACAGCAGTAGATGCGACACTGCGTGAGTGATGAGTGGTCCTGACCCTGCTTCCTCCAGAGGAAGCTTTGGGGGCCATAATAGCAGGGGTCTCCCTGGGTGTCCTGGAAGGGCAGAAACTAGGCATTACCGGAAGGGATTAGCCACCTCCTGGCTTTGCCTTAGCATGAATAAACCCCAACTGAGATTTTATTTTCTTTGATTCCTTTGATCCTCAGCTAAAAAGGATTTGTCTTTCTGGGGAAGCTGCTGGTTGGTAATGCAAAAGATATTATCCCCAAATACGAGCGCCTGTGCTCTTGTCCCCTCATTAATGCTCTTATAGAATAGAGATCTGGAAAGTGCTGGTACAGACTGGCTGGCCTGCAGTGAGCCATCACAGAGCTCTACTCTCTCTCTCTCTCTCTCTCTCTCTCTCTCTCTCTCTCTCTCCTCTCCTCTCCTCTCCCCCCTTAAGGATGAAAGGAAGCCTTTATTTTCTATGTCTGCAAATTTTAAGTGCCTTTGAGGAAGAGAAGTTAAGAAAATGATGCCTGATTTATTGGTGCAGAATTTACTCAGCAGCAGGGAGGGGCCCTCAGTGTAAATGTAATTTATCATTTTTTTCCCCCTTGGAAATTTCTAAGGGAAGAGAATATATATGGCTTGCAGCCTTCTGCATGGATTTCCTCTGGGATATTTAAAAAGCCAACATAAATATTTCAGCAGCAGTGTGTTAATGTTATTGCATTCGAAAGCTATAAATTTGTTGCTATCTTATGCTCACAGTTGTTGTTCATTCAGTCTCAAAGTCTTCAACCCAACTTCTTGGGAAGCCCAGGCTACGGGATATTGAAGGGCAAGTCTTCATGTGAGTTCTAACCATCATTCTCCCTGAACAAACAGAGGGGGAACTTCATTTCTGCTCCACCCCCCCCACACACACACATACATATATACAAACAAACACACCAATTCTTAAAGATGAAGTGGTCAAGAAACCAAACGGCAGCATGTGTGAAAAACTCCCACTGTGGGTCATGGAATAAATGATAAATAGTCCATAAAACCAGAGACTCCTTTCCCTGTCGGTTACACCATTTTGCCCAGTCATCTCTGGATGGCAAAAGCCAAGAGCATTGCAACAGCAGATGAAAGCAGCTCCAGAGGGCAGCCGTGCAAATATCACCAACGTCACCCACCAAATGCTGAGCCGAGAGAGAGAATGTCTGCTTAGGGGTAATAATTCTGTTAGCAAGAATATAATTAACTCACCATCTAATCAAAAGTTCCTTTGAAATGGATGACAGCACCGTTTTTACTCTGAGTCAAGATGAGATGCAGGATTTTATCTTCAGCCAGCTGGAGTCTTGGCTCTAGAACATAGCCTGAAAGATGAGGAGAGCTGCAGGTCATCTGCTACTACTCCCCACAGGAGGAGCTGGGGGCACCAGGCTTTATGCATGACCTCCTGAAGAGAAGGAAGAGTGCAATGGTTTCCACTTCTGCTTCCTCCCCAGGGCACTCTGGATGATGCCGACGACCCCAGTACCAGCATCGGAGCCTACCACTACATGTTGGAGTCCAACATGGGGAAGACCATGCTGGAGTTTCAGGTACCAACTTCCTCTGCATGTTTATTCATCCCACCACCGAGAAATCTGGCTGACTGCCACTCTCTCCACTAATGTCTCTCTCCCAGTAATCCACTATTTTTGCCCATCTGTGTGTTTTGGTCTTTCTTAACTTAATCTTTTTAGAATGTGTCACATTGACTCCATCTTAGCCACAACTCAGCAGGCTAACGGAGACAAGGCACAATCTTTGCTTCTTTTTTGAATGCAAGTGAAAGACTTCAGTCAAGAAACTTAAGGTGACAGGCTGGAGTGATAGCACAGTTGGTAGGGTGTTTGCCCTGCACACGGTCGACCCAGGTTCAATTCCCAGCATCCCATATGGTCCCCTGAGCACCGCCAGGGGTAATTCCTGAATGCATGAACTAGGAGTAGCCCCTGTTCATCGCCGGGTGTGACCCCCCCAAAAAAAGTAAAAGAAACAGGTGAGCTGCTTTTCCAGCTAATGTTGCTGTTAACATTCTACTCATTCCTTACTACAAAGTCTTCCCTCAAAGCCAAGCCAGTCCTCTGAAGTGTTGTGTGACCACTTGGTAGTTTTCTTAAATAAGATCTGCTCCTTCCTAGCATTAAACCCCAATATTTAGCCACCGTAACCAACCCCTTTTCATGTGCTACTGGACCAACAATAATAGGGCTAAAGAGCTTTAATATCTAGTATTTGCAAGTTAAAAAATTGTCACAGTAAGAACAGCTGCCACTTGTTGGATGCATCTCTCTTGTCTGGCACTGAGCTGAGCAGGAAGAATGTTCTCATCTAACCCTCTCTACGTAAACATGTGTGCGTGTGTGTGTGTGTGTGTGTGTGTGTGTGTGTGTATTGTGTGTGTGTGTTTATTATCCTTGTCTCATCTTTGCAAGAACAGAGCCAGAAGTCAGACCTAGGTAGACAGACTTCTAAGCTCACAGACTTGACTATTGTCCTATATTGGACAGGACAGAAGAGAACTCCATAGAGTGTGGAACATAAAATTCTGACAAACTGAACTCAAATGCAGCTAAGCATGCATCTTCCTGCAGTGCTAATGGCAACAACATAATGAAGAACTCGCATTATTTCTAGTTTTCAACTTGATTCCAAGAAACCCGTCATGGATTAGATTTCAAGAAACAATCAGAAACACAACATTTTACGCACAGTAAATGTTTTAGTGGTATTGCAGTTGATCCCTGAAGCCATTAACTTTCAAGTGCTTTCTGGGGAAAATTCAAATTTTCACATTCTCTTTTCAACTCCATGGTTGGCTACTTTTTAGTATATCTGTTCCTCCTGCCAAAGAGTTGTTGGGCAGTGACAGCGGCGGCTGTGGTGGTGGTGGTGGTGGTGTGTGTGAGTGTGTGTCCCATATGTGATGCGAGCAAAAATATTCTTTCTTATTATTCCTGGGAATATGTCTGGTATGCTGGATTCTCCCTAAGTGGCCCTGGTCTCTTAGCCTTTGAATTCACTGATCTTGGGACCCCCTCAGGAGAGCCAGACAAAGCATCCATCAATGGCTTTGCTGGGCTGGTTACTCACCCCCAAATCTGTCTCCTCAATCATATATAAATCAGGTAGAATGATTTTAGTGGTGCCACCTACTAGTGCCTCTGTGAGGATGGTATGATAGAGAGGACAGTTTCTGCATATGGGAACTGTTCAGCGAAGGCCAGCATTCATCCTGTGTGCAGGCATGCTGCTGAGGAAGGGTGACTTCACTTGAAGTGCAGGAGGGTACTGCATGGATTCCCTCAGCTTTCTGCAACCTCATCAAGGCTTCAGATGAGGACACAGTCATTTCCCTACATTAAGCACTTTCAAGGCCCTTGATACGGAGAAAGTTGAACTGTCAGGGGTCCTTTTTTCCTCCATACCTATCAAACAGAGTCGGGGCTACAAGAGAGGTACATGGCGGGGGGGAGTGGTAGTATGGGCAGAAGTTATTTGTCTTGCCTGTAGCCAACCTGAGTTCAATCCCCAGCATCCTGTATGGTCCCCCAAGCCCTGCTAGGAGTGCTCCTTGAGTCAGAATCAAGAGTAAATCCTGAGCACTGCCAGGTATGGCCCAGAAAAAAAGAGAGAGAGGAGAGAAGAAGAGAAGAGAAGAGAAGAGAAGAGAAGAGAAGAGAAGAGAAGAGAAGAGAAGAGAAGAGAAGAGAGACAGAGAACACGAATATAAAAGCACTAACAGACCTGCCCTGGACTGGGGAGAATTCAAAGGACCAACACAGATATTCCACGTAGGAAGCTTAGGTCAGAACCCTGGAACCAACCGGGGTGACCTCAGGACCTAAAAAGAAAAGAAAATGTCATATCGGACAATGTGTGAAATCTGCTTGCCACCTGTGACCATAACTATTTTGACACTCAGTGTTTGTGTCCATCAGATCAGAATCTCAGGGCTCATGGCTAGGATTTTTGTGAGACTTTCATAATAGGACTCCCCAAGGTAGAACCTCTATGATTTTAATCTCTCCCCTTTATCTCTGACGAGAGAATATTGTCCTTAAGAAAATTATAAATGAATGTTGTCTGTGCCTGTACATAGTAGCTTGCATGTGATTTAGTAGGTATTTTCAGAAACCCAGGAATTATTTTTGACCGTGGGTGAGTGACTTAGTCTGCCAAAGATGGGGAAGGTAAGGGGTTTTTTTGAGGGGAAAAAATCTGAGATTTCCTTCCAAGGAGTAGGAAAAGCTCTGGCTCACCATTTTTTTTAGTAAAACTTGAATCGCTTTTGCTGCCTGTCCTCATAGGCTGCTGTTTGCTGTGTGGTCTTTGTAATCGGGTGTTTAAAGGGCTGAATGAATCACTCAAGTCATCCAGCAGGAATATTTCATAAGTTCTCAGGCAGGATGGAGACAGAAGCAGGGGAACTGGTGACAGCAGGGAGAATCCCTGGGACAGCACAGCAGGAGAGAACCAGGAAGCACATCCCTCTTCCTGGCCCTGCTCAAGGTCGCCTGCTGGCCGGGGCGCACTCCTGCCACCCCAGGTTAAATGCATCCAGTTGTGTCCGCACTGTGCCGCAGCATTGCTGCAGTTCCGTGCTCCTGGTGGGTCACGGCTGTGTTTGGGTCTTGCTATGGATGACAGTGGCATGTCAAAGCAAACTGGGGTCTCCTGATGGCTGCTGACTGGCAGGAGTGGGGGGTGGTGGATTTCCCCAAGGAGGCCAAGCTGAGACGCCTGTGGGGAGGTGGCTTGATGCCTGGGGGCCTGGATTTTGTCAAGGTCAAATTGGAGGCCGACTGCAGTGAGGCTGCTCTTGGGATTGTGTCCCGGCCTAATGCAGTCCCAGGAAGCCGTGTTTATTTACATCTCTGCTAAATTCTCCAGGTCGCCTTTTAAAACCCCATCCCATAAACAAATTTCCTCTTAAATCCGCTCCTCGTGGGTGGGGAGATGGTGCCCACCTGTTTTTCAAGTTCTCCATTTACACTGTTTGTTTTTCTTATTGCTGATGAATCGCAGAGCCCTGCCAGCCCCCAGTTGTGGCTGTGCCTTCTCTCCCCACAAAGTGGCCGAGAGGCCAACGCTTGTTTCTCATAGAAGGTGGCGCCAGGCATGCCCCGAGCCAGAGCCAGGGTTGCTGCCGGTTCCTATGGGATGAATGACATAATGACCGGCTGGCCGGGGAGCCAGACAAGGGGAGCTGCAGTTACCCACTCTCCCGGGCTGGGTTTCCTCTCCCACTTTCAATTGACTTTGCTAATGGGGTCTGGTTGTGTGATTTGCAGGGCCCCGGTCCAGGGCGAAATGAAAACGCAGGGAGCGCCTTGAGTTGGAAATTTGCAAAGTGTTGCAAGACAGCAGAGCATTAAGCCAGGCTGGAGGGCCCCAGGGAACTGCCTGGATCACTCAGAAAACAGCTTTGTTCCCCAGACAAGGGCTGGGAAGAGAGTAAGAGACTGTGGTATTGGTCTCAGGTGCAAAATCAAGGAGCAACAAAGCTCCGAAAAGTTTAGCCATCGATCCAGCTAATAGAATAAGGCACTATTTTTGAAACTTGAAGTGAATGCTGAAAGAGGTGTAGAGACGGGGGAGGGGGGAAAAAGGAAGGGAGAGAGAGAGAGAGAGAGAGAGAGAGAGAGAGAGAGAGAGAGAGAGAGAGAGAGAGAATATACCAAGTAAAGCTCTTTCTTGCATCCTAATGACCCCAGTTTAAGTCTGCAGCATCACACAGGGTTTCCTCCAGCACAGTCAGGGCTCACTCCTGAGCGAATATGCAGAAATAGTCTCTGAGCACCGCTGTGACCCCAACTACCTCCCCGCTCAAATTGAATGCACAGAAATCATGAAAACAAAATATCCAAATTTCCAATGAGAGATCCTGAACCTGTGTGATTTGCCAACTTTGATTCATTGCTTCCCTGGAGTCTCGCCCCTGCCTGTGTAGTTAAAACAGACCCCTGTGGTTCTCTCTGCCCTGCCAGACTCCCCAAGCTTGTTGATAAGGTCACATCATCGACAAGACAACACATCAAAGACTGCAGAGGGCAGCTGGAGCAATAGCAAGGTGTTTGCCTTGCACACAGCCGACCCGAGTTCGATTCCCAGCATCCCATATGGTCCCTGAGCACCACCAGGGGTAATTCCTAAGTGCAGAGCCAGGAGTAACCCCTGTGCATCACTGGATGTTACCCAAAAGGCAAAAAAAAAAAAAGACTGCAGAGGTCCGGGAGACAGCACAGGGACCTGGGCTGAGCAGGAAGTGGCGTGTAGGAATACACGAAGTTGGAATCCGCCTCCAGGGAGCCTGTGCGTGTCAGTGGTGGTGCCAAAGCTCCACTGGAGTCCAGGGACACAGCACAGAGCTTCAGGCACTTCCCAGTAATGAATTTCATCCTAGGATGGAGAACCAAGGAGTGTGCCAGAAAGAATTTGAAATTCTTTATTATACGTTCTAAAGTGATGGAGCAAGATTAGTACCTCTGTAGAAGAAGGAATAGAAAGGCGAGAAGATGGGTTAGGGACGGACTGGAGAGATTATAAGGTGTTT